GATTACAATTGCGTGACATTTCTTTTGGTGTTTTTTAAAATTTAAGACTATAATAAAATTTCAACTTTCTCATTAAACTATATTTATTCAAAAAGCAAAAGAGAACCCAGTAAATGAGTCACCGGGAGCTAGTTATGCCAAATAAATTAACTCAATTTGTTTGACTTCTTTTAAAGCAACTTTTCCGCAATAAACTCTCAACAAAATCTTTTAATTAAACTGTTTTTAATACTGGTTTTGTCAGATTATTAAATTGTAAAATAAATTTTAGCAAGCAGGACTATCAAGGAAGGGGGTGTGTATAGAATAGTTATTAACTTTATTGTTATAAATTTTTATGTTTTTTTTTCAATTCCTTAACTTAAGTATTAAGATTACCATTATCATTTGGAGCGGTAAGGTTATAGTCATCAAAAGTTTTGTGATATGCAAACTTAACTTACAGTCATTAGTACTAACATTTACAGTGAATCTCTATTAATAAGGAAATTATATTTAGTTGTGGTTGTGTTATTTTTATTATTTATTGTTATATTATTATTTATATAAATGTTATTTTTATACTTACGCATTTTTTTTTTTTGAGAAAATATTGTGGTTTTCAAATATTTATTTTATAAATTTCTATACAATATAGCTACAATTAGGGTACTAGGTAAAATGCGAACTGCGAATTGGTAAAATGCGAACTCTTTTGCGAACCATCGTCCTATTGGTTGTTAATGATGTAATGTTTTATTTCTGTTAAATAGCTCATTTAGCGGCATATTTTAAAGACTTTTAAGCAAAAAATTATTTTAAAAAAATAAAAGGAAATTAAGTAAACTAAACAAATACAATGAAAAAAATTTTTTTTTAATTATTTAATAGACTGCCTGCCCAAACCAAACCCTCAGTTGATTTAGCAGCACTCTGTTGCGAGTCAGGCTATAACATAGTCGATGTAGCAGCACTTCAATGCAAGTCAGACTATAAGATAGTTGATGTAACAACACTCCGTTGCGAATCAGGCTATAAGATAGTTGATGTAGCAACACTTTGCGCATGTTTTACAGTTAAAAAAATAAAAATTTTAATTTTAATAAGGTTTTAAAATAGATAATTAAGAATTGGAGAGTTTTTTTATTATTAGTTTTATTATAACAATAATGGTCTTTAAAATATAATGTTTTGGTTCGCAAAAAAGTTTGCATTTTACCGGTTCGCATTTTACCGACAACCTACAATTAGAGCTAAAGTACTAAACTATGACACCAGTATAAAAAGTTTATAAATTAATTCATTTTAAAGTTTGACATGTTCTCAGTGGCTCAGTGGTTTATAGCACTCCCTCAGTGTCCATCATCATAAATTTTAAATCCATCACTAAACAAAAAAAATTTTTTTTTTTTTTGCTTCTTGCCACTTTTTGCTGCTTTTTTAAATACAGAGCAAAACAGTTTTTTTTTTTAAATACAGTTACAAAACAGTTAAAGAAAAAAAGACTTTAAATCATTAGAATATTTTTTAGTTTAATGGTTTGTAAGTTATACATATGTTATACATGTAAGTTATATTATACATATGTTATACATGTAAGTTATATTATACATATGTTATACATGTAAGTTATATTATACATATGTTATACATGTAAGTTATATTATACATATGTTATACATGTAAGTTATATTATACATATGTTATACATGTAAGTTATATTATACATATGTTATACATGTAAGTTATATTATACATATGTTATACATGTAAGTTATATTATACATGTTATACATGTAAGTTATATTATACATATGTTATACATGTAAGTTATATTATACATATGTTATACATGTAAGTTATATTATACATATGTTATACATGTAAGTTATATTATACATATGTTATACAATGGTTCCATGTACAACCGTAAATGTAACTTAAGCTACTGACGTTAAGTTATTTTAAATTATCCATATATTATACATGATGGCTCCACATATGGAACCATCATGTATAATATATGGATAATTTAAAATAATGTACAATTTACCCACAAACTAAACTTAACCTACTGATGTTTACATTTACAGACTATGTATGCTTTTACAATAAATAGAAATGACATATTGTTATCAATTTACATAAATTACATATTCACATCATAGCTTCCTTATCAAAAAAGGGCTGATACTCTTTCATACCATTAACATGGGTTTAATGGCTGTCATGTGCTCTGTACAAACACACACAAATAAGCAATAAGTTGCTCAATAATATGAGCAACTTAATGCTCATGATAAATAAATTTATAATAATTAAAAATAAAATATTTAAAAAAAATTTAAAAATGACCTTTTTTTGATGATTGTTTTTTAATTCTTCTTCAATTACATGTAGTTCAGAAATCAGTTTTTCTTCATACTTTTTAATAATTGCATCTCTTTCAATGGAAACCATCTCAATGAACTTCTCTGATGCCAAAATATTAGACTCAATAGCTTGAATTCGCTCTAACTCTGCTCTTTTAAGAGCATAAAAAAGCAAAGCATCTTGAAACTGGGAATTAAGAATATCAATGTCCTTATTTTCCTCAATCAGTTTTAACAGATGTGGAGTAAACTGTTTTAGTTGATCTTTCAATGTTTCGGATGCACCTAGCACTACTTGATTATATTCATGAAAAAACTGAATTTCTTTATTTGCTGCCTGAATTTTAGCTTCAGAAGTAGCAATGGCTTTATTAATTTGTAAAATATCATTTTTAAAATCTGATGTTACATCTTCCTTATTTATAGTTTCTACAAATTTCATTGTTTTTATTATTTCAGCTTGAAGTTGCTCACTTTTTTCTTTAAGCAAATTAACAAAATTGACAGCTGATGTTTCGAGTTGAGAAATACTCTGCCAAAGAGAGTCATATGCTTCATTTTCACGTGAAACAAACATAGCTTCAGCTAGTTTATGAGCATATTCTTTCAGGTTAGACAATGCTTCAAATTCTGTTTCGTTATATTTTAAAAGGCCATCTTTAAGACTCTGAGAATATGTTTCCAACACAACTTCAACAGCAGCCTGACTAGCTAAATTGGTTAAATTATCAAGATCATCTTTTAACAAGACTGATTCTGAACTTACTTTCTTCTCTTCTGCTTGATTAACTGTATCTTTTACATTACCTTGTAAATTAACTTCAGGCAAAATTTCCTTTTCTGATGCACTTGTAGATAAATCTGAAATAAATAACACTATATTTATTTATGCATTACCATATATAATATAAATAAGTCATATATTATATTCTTAAAAAAAGTGATTAATATATATTGTGCTCGTCTGAAGAACTTGTGAGGGATAAAATTATAAGTTAATTTTATAGAAAAAATTTATGGTAAAATTTTTTTGCTGAAGTCAAAATATGTTTAATTTAACAGTAGAGTTTGCATATTGTTAAATAATAATATAAGTTATATTCGTTATAAAATACGTCACACATAAACTAAAATTAAAAAATCTTAATGTAAGAGAGCCAATGATTTATTACTTCTATTTAAAAGTTAAATTCAGCATGATGTTTTTTTTTTAAATTGCTGTTAAACTTTATCATATCATCCCTTGATCATACTCTGGTTGAACCATTTTTTTTATTTTTTTTTTTATTTTAATTCACTTCCTCAAGGCCGAGAAGGCCACTACAGACGAGGAGGCTACTTATTTGTGGCTATAACCCTCTCTCAACTCTATAACTCCGAAACACGAACCTTGATGAACAAGGCCGCTGCGCGGAGAAACGAGTTGAGCGCGGTACTACCAGGGACGTGGTGAGGATCGAACTCCGAACCACTCGTTTATGAAGCGAGCGCTCTACCACTACACCACTACCACATTTGCTAACTCTTACAGTTTTTTTAGGTCCATGTGACAAAAAACTTAACTAGGGCTTTTACTCTGAATTGCATTGTAATAAAATATCAAACCTTACAACATTTTAATAAAAATTCTAAACTTTGAATGCTTAAAAATTAAATACCTAGCATAACTTAATAAAAAAATAAAATGTAAGTTTATTTATAATAATTTAACAAACTTAAAACTTTATTTATAGTTTCAATTTTGTACAGGTTTGATCAATTCTATTTATTTATGACAATTATATTTAAAATTCAAAAACATCAAATAAAATTCAAAACATTCAAATATCAAATACTTTTGTGTCAAAAGTATTTGATATTCAAAGTTTATTGAAGTTTATTTATCAAAAAAGTTAGAGCTAAATGTAACTAAATATAAATCTCTTCAGAGTCCAAATTAACAGGATTCGACTGCTTATTATTATTTATTTATAAGTATTGATTATTGAAATTTTGGGAGATATATATATATATATATATATATATATATATATATATATATATATATATATATATATATATATATATATATATATATATATATATATATATATATATATATATATATATCAGTGGTGTACACTGGACTTTTAGATGTTTGAGTTTTGACACTTACACACATTTTGCAAACTCCAAATTTTTGTATGTTCATGCGCATTGTCAAATGAAAATGTTTTGCAAAAAATTGTGGTGATTGGAGCTTGGGGACAAAAAAAAAACCAATTTTCGGGTCCACCCAGCCCTTAACGTGGGAGCAACAAGTTGATAAAATAATTTTTTTAGTATTTTTATCTAAGTTTATAATCATCAACAAATTTCAAACTTATCCAATAACTTCTAATTTTTGAAAATTATGACCATATAAAGTTTTTACCCCCCTCAATTTGAGGGGGCTGTAAACTTTGTAGGGTCATAAAAACTAAAAACTAAGAGGTTATTGCATGAAACTTGAAATTCGGCTGGGTGGGCCCGAAAATTGGGTCTTTTTTTGTCCCCAAGCTCCAATCACCACAATTTTTTGCAAAACATTCTCATTTGACATAAGTATGAACATACAAAAGTTTGGAGTTTGCAAAATGTGTGTAAGTGTCAAAGCTCAAACATCTAAAAATCCAGTGTACACCACTGTATATATATAAGGGCGGGTAATTTTTCAAACTTTTCCAGTAAATGCTTAGGCCATATGATTTTTAAATGTTTTGGCTCTTATATAAAAGTAATCCAAAAAAAAAAAATTATTTTTAGTTTTTCAAATTTCGACCTAAAAAATTGAGGTTTTGGGTAAAAAATGCTATATACGTGGTATACAACTTTTGATCGATTGACTCAAAAACATCTTTTATAGAATCCTCGATCCCAAATACCCCTAATTAGACACCTAGATAATCATTTTAGCTTAATAACTTATAACTATAAAAGTTTACAAAAATCGTTATTTTTGATATATTTTGCTGTTATATGAATGCAATTGCAATGTTATATGAATGTAATGCAGCAAAACAGTTTCAAAGGATTTCTCAACCACAACGCGAGGCACAACCAATTAGAAACATGAAAAATCATTAATTATTGTTTATAGCAGTATTTACCAAATTATCATTCACAATGCAAGAGTAAACTTAATTTTACTAAATATACAATAAATATAAACTTATTGCTTAAAAAAGCATAAGCAAATTCTGTTTAGATTTTAAAACAGGAAGAAGTTCTCTGTGAGCTATTGTTGCCTTTATAAATCAGTCTCGCCTTTCCTGTCCAAAAACTATACTAGAAGCTCTTGTAACTTCTTTCACAATTCTTTCTATGAATTGCCCATGTACAGGAAATTCTGGAACTTCAATTGTAACTTCTAAAAACTTAATAAGTTCTTCTTTACCAATCTTGCATGTGAGCAAAGGTTCATAAATATCATTACTCCAATCAATCAATTTGATAATAGTTTCAGCATTAGTATTTATATTTGGGATATTTCTTGGTCTAACATCAGTAATTTCTAGGGAGCTCGAACTCATTAAAAGTATTTTATTCACTGCAAACTTCCTCTCCTCTTTGTAGAATAGATTCACTATGAGCATTGTAGAATAGATTCACTATGAGCATTCCAGGCAGAGGAGCAAACATAGGGCAAAACTGCTTGTTGAATATTTAAGTTCATTTTTCGGACAAGTTCCAGCTATTTGATAATATGGTATGGTCCATTGGTCCATTTATGTTTTACCTAAACATTAATAATACATTTTTCAAAAATAAATAGACGATTATTAAACTTTTCTTACTTTAATTTCAAACCATAATACAGAATATACACCAACACAAAACTGTACAAGTTGTTTTAAATTCTCAACATTGTTTTTATTTAGTCCATGCTCTGAACACCAAATTCTCTAAAGTCTACTTGCCAAATTCAACCAGTGTGCGTTATTGTGGGGACCAACTTGAATTTCTTTTGAATTTTTGGGCATTATTTTATTTTCAATAGCCTTTGTTATTCGGTATAGATATTTTTGATCACTCAATAAAGTTTTTAAAATATCTTCATCAATATCTAATAAATTGATTTCAGTATCTATATCTTAAATCACAGTGGAAACTATGAGATCATTGGCAATAGGAACAAGTTTACCAATATTGACAGAAAACTTGTTATTTGAAGTTGTTTTCCCGTCAATAATTGACATTAAGTGCTACAAGGGTAGTTCATTTGTGTGCAAAGCGCAAACTATCCAAATAAGTTTTGTTTGAAGTTTTATTTTTAAAAAATGAATGATACCTCCTTTCCAACCTAAAAAATAATTGTGTTTAAATATATGTATGACATTTATTATTAAATATTTACCTGTATTTATTATCATCATTTACCTGTATTAAGATTAATAGAATCACAGCCTACAGCAACTAGAGTTGATTCTACCCCATGTTCAATAATCCATATATATATATATATATATATATATATATATATATATATATATATATATATATATATATATATATATATATATATTATATATATATATATATATATATATATATATATATATATATATATATATATATATATATATATATATATATATATATATATATATATATATATATATATATATATATATATATATATATATATATATATATATATATATATATATATATATATATATATATATATATATATATATATATATATATATATATATATATATATATATATATATGTTTTGCTATGTGCTCTGCTGGGGTATTACACTCAGATTGATTTTCTTTATCATTTGTAAAATGGTACAGATATAAACCACCTGGCTCTGCACAAACCGAATAATGGTATTCTGGAACAAGTATGTGGTGAAATTTTCCATCTTCTCCCATCAAAGAACATTTTGTCTCATCCTTTCTTCTATCAAATAAAATACATTGAACTCAACCTTTTACAACATTATCATTTTCAGATTTTAATTGTTTCATCAACTTCAATTTAGATCTTTTAATTTTCTTATGATCTGTCACTATTACACTGTCAAAAACTTTCTTTTTAAGAAAGCCTGCTTCTTTAGCTGCTTTCAGTGCTAATGTTAAAATAGCAGCAGTTGCTCAATTTAATACCCCATATCTTATTGATGCTAATGCTACTTCTTCCATATTCAATGTCTTTTTCAAAACTTGTCTACAAATGTACTCAAAACTATTGTCAGAAACAAAAATTTCATTGTCAGTATTCGCAATATTATCAACTGTTTCTTTGATTTCATTTTCTTGAGAATGAAAAGATAGGTATTCTATTGTGGCTTCTTTTTTCCAGTGGCCTTTCTTTTCTTTTTTTTTTTTCTTGTCTATTGATTTCTTTAAAATCCAAAGCACCCATTTGCATACTACTTTTTGTTCCAAACTTTTCTCTTTGAAATTTCATAAACTGAAGTTCTATTGTAGGAATTTTGTTTTCTCTATTGCATTGACAAGAATTATGCGCTTTAAAATTACAAGAATTACAACTTGCCTCCTCACAAGAAACAATGTCATACTTGCACTTTGTATATCAATCAGCTTGTCGAGAGTAGAGTTAAACTTAGAAATAATTTCAGGTTTATACCTGTAGTTAATAATATCTTTCCATACTTTTATTACTTTATTAACACCCACTTTGTCTGTCACAATAGGAATTTCAGGACTCGCTTTCAACCATTGTGTTTTCACTTTAGAGAAAACCTTTTTGCATGTATCTTTAAGTTTTGCATTTGTTTTGCAGTTTTTATCTCTTCCTAAAAGCAGACCATACTTTATAACATCTCTTAATGTGGGTAAGTCAGAATCTAAAAACTCACTTGCAA